CTGGTGGGAGGTAGGCTGAAATTTGTCCAGCTTTCTGAACTCTGTTTACGAGTATGGAAGTTTTGTGGCATGTATGCGGTGGATGTTGCGAGCATCTGAAACTCTTTAATTTCGTTGCTATCTGGTAATGAAGTTCAGTTTCAACATCTGAAACTCTCTAATTTTACTGGTGCCGCTGTCGATCGCCGTCGTTGTAGTCGTCTCGTCGAGCAAATGCTATCAGTGATCCATCGTGACAGCGTTGTTCGCTTGAACTTATCAGTCATGGTACAATGTTTTTCTCTCACCATAAAACAGCACCAGCCGACTTATCATCTAAAAAACAAATACCATCAGCCGATTAGCTATTCGGCTCTGCCATCTATCGTGTGGTTGCAAATATGAGCAATGAAGTGAAATGGAAATGGTTCATGTTTGTGGAATTGTGGTAGCATTCCTGTTCTATCAATACAAGTTCGGCAGGGGTCCTGCCGACCATTTTCGATAAAATAAAATGGGTAGCTGGTATGGTAGTGGTAGCTACGGTCTGGCGATCGACCCCCCAACTAATCTGAGGCGGCGTGGCCGGGCGGACCACCAGATCTGCCGACTGCCAGGACCGGGAGAAACAAGAACAACTGAACAAGGCCCGGCGGGCGAGCCGAGGAGGCAGCCACGCCAAACACCAACGGCCAAGGCTACAGACTTCCATTCCCCGTCTTTTCCCCTGCCGCGGCCCGCTGCCGGACTCTGAAAAGGCGCTGTCGAGTCCGCGCACGCATGGCACAGGGGAGGCCGGGACCCCTACCTCCCGCGAAGGCCTGCTGCACCGCCCACGAATTAATAAACGGATTAACGTGTCATGCGCCGTGGCGCGTCAGTGTCGCGTCCAGACCCGCGGCGCGGCAGCCCCGGCCACGTCAGCGTTCAGTGGCCCTGGTCGCTGCCACGTCGCCGCTCCTACCGCGTCCCCAACCATGGCACGGCAACGTGATTTCACCACGCCGTACGAATAGGCGCGGCTTAGTTTTGAAAAAAAAAAAAACAGTGTAATATTTGAAAATAGTTTAAAAAAAGTGTTAAAAATAAAAAAAAAAACTGATAAGCAAGGTACATTCAGTGTTAAAAGTGCGTATAAAGTTTGTTGGTCGGACAGCATGCGTGCAAGATGTAGAGGGGGAGAGCAGGGAAGCAGTGTGACAACTGTAACGACGATGCGGAAGAAAATTTGGCAACTTGAATGTCCGAACTAGGTAAAGCATTTTCTATGGGGATTTGCTCATAACAGCCATCCGCTTAGAAGCAACCTTGTGAGGCGCGGGATGAAGATAGATGTTAGATGCCCAGTTTGTAATAGGGCCGGTGAGGATGGCGCTCATCTGTTCTTTAAGTGTATGTTGGCGAAACAGGTTTAGAACCAACTCCATTTGGACAGTGAGCGTGAAACACTTGCTGGTTCGATGCAAGCTAGGGATGCTGTGGATTTTATTCTAAAACTGAAAGAGGAACAAAGACTGATTATGGTGATCGGTCTCTGGTTTCTATGGAGCGAAAGAAATGCGATCAGGGAGGAAGGATGCAGGAGAAGTGCTGAAAGCCTAGCTAGAGGAATTCACATCTATGCCAAGGAAACGGCTGACATGTGCGTCAAAGAAAAGAAGCCCAAGGAGAAGAGAAGGGTGCGATGGGAGAGGCCACCTACAGGCCATCTCAAGCTGAATTGCGACGCATCATTCAAGTTAGAAATCGGGGAAGGTAGTTGGGGTTTCCTGGTTCGCGACTGGGATGGCGATGTCGTTATCACTGGACGGGGAAGATAAATCATCTATTAAGTGCTTTTCAAGCCGAACTAGTGGCATGTCTCCAAGGTGTTCAAGCAGCGATCGGTGTAGGCGCTGGGAATGTCATCCTGGAGTCCGATTCTTTGATAGTTGTGCAGGCGATCAACACTGGCGCTTATTCAGAGTCTGCAGTTGGTACTTTAGTTGATGAGTTGAGGTCTCTAGTGGTTGATAATTTTATCAGTTTCCAGTGTGTTTTCAAGGTTAGAGAATGTAATAGGGCTGCTCATCAGTTAGCAGAGCTAGGGTCTTTGTGTGCTGAAGGGGATGAGCTATTTTCAAGCTTAATTCCTGAATGCGTCGCTGTAATTGTCGCAAATGATTTATTAGCACCTGAGTAATGAAAGTCTACCCAGTTTTTTTTTTAAAAACAACCGAGCCAAAGACGGACAAAAACAAGAGAAGTGGGATGTCAAAGAACACAAATACAAACACCTTTGGACGCAACCCGCGCCGTGGGCCCGTGGCCGCGTCAGCGGAGCCCACGCTGTCATGGGCCGAATGTGCTGTGGTCGCGTGGCCTGCGTTGAAGTGGCCCATGCTCGGTCCTGTGCCGCCGTGCCAGTCCCCTGGCTCGTGCCACCTATGTATGGAGAGAGAGAGAGAGAGAGAGAGAGAGAGGAGATAGCTGTCGAGAAGAGAGAAACGGATTGTACTGTGTAGAGTGTGAGAGATAGAGGCAAGGAAAGAGGAGAACGGGAGACACGCAGCAGGGGTGCACATACGCGATTCTGCGCTTAGGAAAAGTCATCTTGTTTAAGTTCTCTTTGGCAACGGCTCCTCCGGCTTTAGAGCCTGTTTAACTTGTGTCTTAAGTTTGCCACGTCTAACCTGATAAACCATAGTTGTTATAGAAAAAATGACGAGCAACAATTGTGACAAAGTTTGATAAGAAAATGAATCTTGACATGTGGAACATGGTGCTAAAAAAATGTGATACGCTATAGTTGCGGCATTGAACCAAACAGTTGCCAACAAGACCGTGGCATGACTAATCTTTAGACCTTGTTTAAATCCAGGAGCTAAAGGTTAGGGGTGTCATATCGGATGTCACATCCAGGTGTTATATGTGAGTGTTCGGATAGTAATAATAAAATAAATTACATAAGTCCTCAGTATTCCACGAGATGAATTTATTAAGCCTAAGTAATCCGTTATTAGAACATGTTACTGTAGCTTTAATGTACCACCACATTGTCGAATCATGGGCTAATTAAGCTAAAAAATGTGTCTCGCAAATTAATTGCAATCTGTGTAATTAGTTATTTTTTTAGTCTATATTTAGTACTTTATACATGTGTCAAACATCCGATGAAACAGGAACTGAACTTTAATGATAGGAACTAAACAAGGCCAGCGTGGCAAGTTAGTTTTTCAGGCGGGAGCACTATAGCATCACTGTATGTTATTGTAGCAAAAGTTTGTTTCTCTTTCCGGTTCAAAATACACTACAATGATTGAGAAGCCGACAAGCCAAAATTTAGGGGCTTCATCGGCCTCTGCTATAGTACCAGCACAGTGTCGAAACCGAAGCCAGCATAAGACCTCCTTTGCTGAGCTTCAACGACTTTACCCTCACTTTGGCAAAGTTAATGTAGCGTCACTATTTAGCACTGTACCTTTGAGCTCTTCTCTCTCCATCCGGAAATGAACTAGCAAATAGAAGAAGCCGGAGAAGCTAAGTTTGGGGGGCTTCGGATTCGGCGAAGCCCGTACAAGCCCCATCAAAGATATCTTAAGACCGTCTCCAACAACACTCACCCAATTACGAGATGCATTCGTTCGTTTGGGTCTTCGTTTGGGTCTCGCAGGAAAAAAGGATCGCGCACCCAAACCTTCCGGTTTCCAACAGCAGACCCAAAAAAGGAGAGCCCCCGAGCAGCCGAGCCTCCGAGCGCCGAGCAGATCCCGCTTCTCTACCGACGACGACCCGGAGCCCTGCGGCTACGCCTGCCGACTGTGAGCTCGTCGACGTCCTTGCCTCGACCACCATCTGCACCGCGCCACCGAGCCCGCGACCCCGACGCGCCAAGCCCCTGTGCCGACGCTCCGCCCGCCTCTGCCGCCTCGGTCGACCGCGCTGGAGCCCCGGCGACCCCGTCCCGCGGCTGCTCGCGGGCCTTCCCCGGCGCAGCCTCCCTCCATCCCTCCCCTGAAGAAACGCGGCGAGCACGACTTGAATCCCGGGCGGCGAGCTCCTTCCCCTGCGCGGCCTCCCTTCCTCCCTCCGGCGTTCCCTCCCTACGAGATCCAGCGAGTGCTGGGCGATCGCCGGTGAGCACCTCCGCCCCCCACGCGGCGCTGCTCATCACCGGCGGCGGGGTAGCGGTCCCAGATCCGCGCGAGGCAGCCAAGGCCGGCGGCTCTGGAGGTGCTCCCACGGCGAGCTCGTCTCGCCGAGCCGGCCACGCCCCACCGTGGTCCTGCCTGGCAGCGCCGGCTGCTCCACCCCGACGCCTCCTACGGGCCCACCACTACGGACACTGGAGGTTTGCGTCTTGGAGAGAGAGAGACGACGCAAATAAGCGTCCTGGTTCGCCTCGTACCCAAAATGCGTGCTCTGTTTGCGTCTTTTGTTGGAGCGTTGTTTTTTTACATCTAAAGCACTGTGCACGACCTATTTTGGATTTAGGTCTCGTTTTGCATGAGCTGTTGGAGACCGTGTCACACCCTCTTTTTAGTCGTGCAGGACGTTTGATTTTTGGGAAACTTTTCACTGGTAGTTTACTTTAACATGTACACGTGAAAGTAACACTTTTAGTGGCACTGGTTAAATTAACAGCCTGTATAAATATGAATACTTGTATTGCAGTAGTCTTACGATTAATGTCATTGAAAATTAATCTCTATTGACGGTCCATAGACATGGGTCAACACTTTAATTTGTAGTTGCGCTTACTCGACCAGTGAAAAATGTCATGACATTAATAAAAATCATTTATGCTTCCCTTTTCTCTTTGAATTTGAACTTAAACTACAAGTTGGGAGGTGCAGCATGCGCTCTGACCAACTGCGGTGTCCAGCTAGAACGGTTCTCGATCACGACCAACTCTAACAATGTCGAAAATCAATCAACTGAAATATGCCAACTTTTATTAGGCGACTAAAATTTTACTTGGCATCGATCATCAACTATTGCTTCATGGTTCCGTTCAAGTGTAACTACTGATCTTTGAGCCCTTAAGCATCTGATGAGTTGGGTGGGCGGCTGAGCGCTCTCACCATGCTCAGCAGGTTCTCGCGTGACGAACCGCCGGGGCCGGCTGCAGCCTCCGCCTCGTCCTTCCACTTGGCCGCGCTCTTCCGCATCTCCTCACTTGCCATCGCCTTCCTGACGTGCATGGCGACCTGCTCCCTCTCCACCTCCGCGTCCAGCCGGACGCCGACACCCCACACCTCGCAGGCGTACTTGCAGTTGGTGTACTGGTCCGAGAAGCCCGGCCAGCACACCATGGGCACGCCGGCGGCCACGCTCTCGCACGTCGAGTTCCACCCGCTGTGGGTCAGGAAGCAGCCGACGGCCGGGTGCCGCAGCACCTGCTCCTGGGGACACCACGCCGTCACGTGGCACCGCCCCGCCGTCTCGGCCTTGAAGGCCGGGGGCATCGCGTCCAGGCCGCCGCCGCCGCCGCCGCGGACGAAGTTGTCCCTCATGGACCATAGGAACTGGTGGCCGCTCGCCGCGAGACCCCACGCGAACTCGCTCAGCTGCTCTGGCGTCACCACCGTGTGGCTGCCGAAGTTGACGTACACGACGGAGCCCCGTTCCTGAGTGTCCAGCCAGGTGAGGCACTCGGCGTCCTGCTTCCACAGGCTCAGGCCGGTCGTCGACTCGGTGTCGGCGGCGGCGCTGTTTTGGTCGTTCTGCTGGCGGAGGAGCAAGCCCAGGGGCCCGATGGTGTACATGCGCGGATACTCGGCGCGTAGCGCGGCGAGGACGTCGGCCTCGAGGCCGTCGAAGGTGTTGAGGATGAGGGCGCCGGCCTTGGCGCAGCTGTTAGCCTCCGACTCGTTGAAGCGGAGACCGAAGTCGTCCGGGTCGGTGGTGCGGAGGAAGCTGGAGAAGTCGCCGAGGAGGGTCGGCGGCATGCCGGGGATCCAGTCGATGACCGTCGTCTCGAGGTAGCCGTTCGTCAAGAAACTCTCATCTGCCGGTCGGCCGCAGGCAGTCAACGTTGGTGTCTAGTGAGCAAGTGCAAGTGTGTGCAAGATTTGGGCGCGGTGCTCTGCTGTGCTTACCCTTGAGTGGCACGTACCCTCTTTCCTGGAGCTCGCGGAGCCTCATGTGCGCCATCAGGGAGGCCGCGCTGGCCGTCCAGAACGACATGGTCGGGATCCCGAGCTCCCGCGCCACGCCCAGCGCGAAGCTCATCAGCATCGTGGGCAGCACGCAGGTGACCGGCGGCATGCCCGGCGTGCCGTTGAGCCGCGCGATGAGGTCTCTGAACGGCGCCGCGCAGCGCGTGCTCGTGGACACGGCCAGGCTGCGCCCGTAGTCCTGCTGGCCCCGTTCGGCCTCGGACAGGCCGTCCGGGATGGCCTCGAAGCGGAAGCCCTCCCCGCCGCGCACGGCTCCGGCGCCCTCGGTGGCCTGCACGCGCCGGTGGTTGTGCTCGGTGTTGACGAAGGTGACGTAGACGCCGTGGCGGTGCAGCAGCTTGGCGATCTGCAACGCTGGGTTGATGTTACCGGCGCCTGGGTACGGCACAATCACAACGTGTGGCCTCGCCATTGAAGCAAAAGATCGAGCACGCTTGATGACCAAGGAGCTTACACTCGATCGGGTCTTATCTCTGCAGTGGACCAGAGCTGGTCCGCCACGACGCCGAATAAGCCAGGCACGTGCAGACGGGATCTTACGCCGCCGAGATCCCATTTTCCACAGATGCTCTCATCTGTCGCCAGGCCAGCCTCTCTGTTTCTTGTCTTTGGGCCAGCCAGATATCGACGTCAAGGCGTCAGTGAGAGCAACCCAAACGCACTGGCTTTGGTGTATGGCTCCGAATTTTTTTATTTTTTAGCCTTTTTTTAAAAAAAAAAATCACAAATATACCTCTGTAGGTAAAATTTCAAAATTTGGATCCTTAGCTCGGCGCCATCGTTGCTGGCGCCGAGCTTTTGGGCTCGACGCAGACGTGACGGTGACTTGGCAGGCAGCTCGGCGCCATAGATACTGGTGCCGTAGATCTTGGCACCATGATCTATGGCGGCGAGGTGGTGTTTTAATCCCGACCCTAACTTTCCTGCCCGAGCCTTCTTCCTCTTCTTTCTCCTCCCTCTCGGGTTTTTTCTCTCCCCACTTCGTCCTATCTCACGCATCGGCATATTGGACCTTAAAAACTTTGATTTGATCCGTAGATCTTCGAGAGCAAGGTATCCTCGCCCCCTCCTAGTTTTTTTCGCATCGATTCGGTATATATTAGTCAGATTTTTTAACCTAAGAATCGTCATTACTTAGGGTTTCATGCAATTTTTAATATTTGTATTATACAACCCTAGGTTTAGGGTTTAATATTAATTGTTTTTGGTTCTTAGAACTAAATTGGTTGTATTGTAGTTATGGTTCTCATTGACATTAATTTGTGATGTTTTGATTTTTATTTGTTAAATTACAACCGTTTTGTTAGATGCAAGAAATGTATCAGGAAGAGTTTTGGCGAAAACGAGGTCGTCCTCGAGAAAGTGACTACAAAAATCCATAATAGTACACAATGTCCATACAGTCCCAAATAGTTACAGAAAAGTAACTATAAAATCTATAATAGTACATACTAACATCTATCACAAATCCTCACTGCCTCCTGGTCTTACCCTTACCCTTGTGACCGAGAGCACTGGTACCTGGAGTGTAAGGGTCAGGTGGACGGCGTCGCCTAGTGCCTGGAGGCTGTGTAGGCTAAGTCGAGGGAGCGTCCTGGAGCTGAGAGGGGCCAAGCTCCTCGTGCCTCTGGTCCACGTCGTCCTCGTCCTCGTCCCCTGTAGCTGCTTGGCTAGAGGAACCTTAGCCTCCTCTGCCTGCGGAAGGAACGTACACGTCCTGCGTCGTGTCTGTCCTGCAATCACAACGAGCAGCCGCACGGCGTAGCCGACGTGACAGCCTCTGTTGTACAAAATTACGTTAACTGAAAGAATCTAACATATTAATAATATGTTTAAAACAATATTTTGAATCTTACGTCTAGTAAGCTACGCGTGTCGTCATCCCTGACTCTCGGACGAAAGCGCTCAATGTCTTCAACGGAGCATTTTAGGGTATTGTCCTGCAACAAAGTTCCCGAACAAAGCTCTCAGTAATAATACTTCTGAACAGATAGCAACAGGTTTTGTTTTCTTTTGTACAATAATCTAACGTATTATAAGGATGCTATAACTCGAAAGTGGCACTAACTAAAATAGATACATCTAACGCATAATGTAATGGTATGCAACTTAACGTAGAAAAATAAGGCAATTGACTTACCACTCTATCCAATATTGGTCCTGCCACCACCTGCCTTTCTACGTGAGTAGATTGGTCTTACGCCGTGTCTTCATCGTCGGAGAACTCGATGTCGGCGTAGTCATCTTCTGTCCACTGTACCCTCAGCCAACAATGTGTCGCACGTTGGTACCAAGCTTGGTACCGCCTGAACTCACGGTTCGTGTGCGGCTTGTTCTCGTCCACGTTGTCGTGCATCTCCTCCCATTGCTCAATGTAGTACTAGTGGTGCTTCTCCTAGTCAAAAATCTTTCTATTCTTCTGACGATCCAACCTGCACGTATGTCATCGTTACTTGAATCCATGTACATGTCACCATATTAATGGAAATGGACCATCACGAGACATTTGAAATAGCAAAACACTTACTTGTGTAAGTCAACGCCAGTCGAGAACGGAGCCGTTGGCCAAAGCTATCTCACTCTAAATTGGCGTCCAACTCTATCTGGCAGGTGGAACTCGACAGCATAAAAACATATTAGAGGGCACCTTATCCTATAGAAGTCATCGTCGAACCCACACATGTTGCTCAAATGAAAAGGAAGTGCCCCCTCTCCATCGTACGGCTCCCACGATACCTGCAACATGTCCAAACAAGATGTTAGATGGTATACTAAACCATTTTAAACCAGCATGGAAAATAAAATTTACTTACACTAGATGCTATGAGCGTGTCTAGCTCGTTTGTGAACTCAATGTACGCTCGTTGTAACCTCGCGTGCGAAACCCTAACCTGGTCCCAAAGGTACGCCCACGTCGACTGCCGACGTGGAGGCTGACCTAGGAACCACTCACGAGGAGCTAGAACCTTGGGACAGCCAACTGGTAGACGAGCCCACATCCACAACTGAAGCAGATACACGCATCCACCAAGTGACACTGTGGATGAAGTCCGACGACACCCCTCGCACAGCTGCCGATAAAGAAAACCCAAGACTGTAGAGCCCTAGCTGTACTGACCCGCCTGGTCCCAGTCACTGAGGCAGTGGACCCACATCCATGACGCAGTGTCACCCATAGCGTCGGGGAAGAGAACACAGGTAAACAGGTGTAGGATCCACGCCCTGTAGTAGTACCCAACTGTCTCCTCATCTACCTCATCGGGGCACTGTGCGAACTCTTGCCGGAGCCAGGAGATTATAACTGTAGAAGTGCGAACCCCTTGCTCGCCAACCTCACGCCCAAGGAAGGCCTCTACTCGTGCTCTCCAGCCTTCTGACCTGCACTGCCCAGTGACTGCGTTGCCGTGAATCCTTAGGCCTAGCATCTTCCGACAGTCTTGGAGCGTGACTGTCATCTCCCCGAAAGGTAGGTGGAAGCTGTGAGTCTCCGGCCGCCACCTACACTTTAGACAAAGTAAGATTACATGTCAAAAAGGTAAGCGCACGAACAAATGGCCATGAATGGAGGCAATGATTGAAGATAATACCTGTCAACCAACGCAGTTATGGCCGCTGAGTTGAACTTGGGCAACCCACGACGAACCTAAAAAGAGATGACATCCAGGACAGCTCTTTGCAGGAAAGGTGTGTATCTGTCGTCGTACTGCATGTCCAAGAACCCATTGTGGGTTCTAGGACCAAGGAGCGGAAGGTCCTGCATGGAATAAAACATAGTCTCCTGTTACTTTACGAACACATGTACGCTCACAAAAATTTGAACAAAACGTGTAGATTAATACCTGCCCCGCCGCTGTGAGACGTCCTCGGTGGGTCACCTCGTACGTCGAGTCGAGCAGGTGGAATTGCGCCATCCTACAAGAAAAGTCAATGAATTAAAAATTCAATATACAATGAAACATGAACCTAGAAATGTACAAGTAATTGACACAATTACATGCATAAATTGAGACATGCATAATTAATTAAATGAATACGACAAATAGGAAATAATGAAAACAACCAATAGTCGCACCTCACTAATCTACCAATGGCAACTGCGTACCACACTTGCCGCACTTGTACTGCGCTGGGTCAGTAAGAAATGGGGTTCCTCTCCCACGCCTTATTCTTCCGGGTATCTGATCCATAACCATCCTGTGCCTCGTCCTCTTCCTTGATCCACTCTTGTTCCAACGATAAGTTGGATACGCAATGTACTTTGGCCCATCATATGGAGGCCACTCTCTAGGGTCCTGGAAAGGCATGAAGCGGGGGCTCCATGTCTGCACAAGCGTGTCAACACTGAACTCATGAGGTATCCTGCTCTCGATATTATAGTTGTGATGCCTAGCTGCTGCCACCAAATGGGATTATAGAAAGTGGTACTGCCTTGGTTTACCACAAGTGCATTTGAAATCCTAGAGGATAACCACATGCATCCTCGACTCTCGGACCTCACCGTCGAGCGTTGTACCGCCCCTATGCTCGACCTGATGAGTCCCTGTGGCATGGTCAAAGCATGTAACCTCATGTGTGCCAGCTCTTTCATTTGCCTTCTCTAGGTGTGCCTTTGGTTTCAGAGCTCATATCTCTCCATCACTCCGCAACTTCAATGCATGGGCGTGTCTATCATTGAACCAGGCAACAAGCTTGTAGAAGGTGAATTGAATGATTGCATTCACGGGCATACCACGTATCCCCAATAGCAACTTATTGAATGACTCTGCCATGTTGCTGCACTAAAACTCATACCTCCATCCACCGGCGTTGTGAGCTCTTCTCCATTTCTCCAAATCCCTCATCAAACCTATGAGCCATTGTCTACCTTCTGCATTTGATGTGATTCTGACCTGCTCCAACTTTTTTTGAAAGTACTTGTCCTCAAACTATCGAGCAGTCTTCTAGAACAGGTCAAAGTTATCCTTCACACCATCCTTCTGGAGTAGATTCTCGACAAGGTGCTGAGTACACAAACGATGGTGCAAAGGTGCATACCCCTCTATCTGCTCTCACACGGCATTAAGTATGCCCTGGTGCCTATCAGATATGACGCCAACCTCCCTACTAGGCCCAACCACATGTATCCGGACTAGCCTCAAGAACCATCCCCAACTGTCATTGTTCTCCTTCTCAACCAAAGCAAATGCCAAAGGAACCAACTTGTTGTTCGCGTCTCAGGATATGGCTATAAGAAGTATGCCCTGGTATTTGCCAATCAAGAATGTACCATCAATGGAGAAGAAGGGACGATAGTGCCTAAAGGCCTTGACACACTGAGGGAAGCACCAAAAAGGACGGAAGAATATCTGCCTCCCATCCTTCCATGCATTTGGTTTTGGGATGTACTCATAATGCATGCCTGGATTCACCGCT